AAGGTTATGCTCAAAATCCTCCAAGGTAGGCTTCAGCAGTATGTGGACCGAGAACTCCCACAAGCTGGATATCGAAGGGGCAGAAAAACAAGAGACCAAATTGCTAACATGCGATAGATTATGGAGAAAGCCAGAGAGTTCCAGAAAAACATCTACTTCTGCTTCATTGACTATGCCAAAGCCTTTGACTGTGTAGACCACAGCAAACTATGGCAAGTTCTTATAGAAATGGGAGTGCCTGACCACCTTATCTATCTCCTGAGAAATCTGTATGTGGGACAGGGAGCAACAAAACTGGATATGGAACAACAGATTGGTTCAAAATTGGGAAAGGAGTACGACAAGGCTGTATATTGTCTCCCTGCTTATTTAACTTATATGCAGAATACATCATGCGAAAGTCTGGACTGGATGAATCCCAAGCCAGAATTAAGATTGCCAGCAGAAATATCAACAACCTCAGATATGCAGAAGGCAGACTGCCAAAGAATTGATGCTTTTGAATTGTAGTGCTGGAGGAGACTCTTGAGCGTTGGACTGCATGGAGATCAAACCTATCCATTCTGAAGGAAATCAGCCCTGGCTGCTCACTGGAAGGACAGATCCTAAAGCTGAGGCTTCAGTACTTTGGCCATCTCCCTGGCCAGGGAGAGAAATCTCCCTGGAAAAGACCCTGATGTTGGGAAAGAGTGAAGGCACGAGGAGAAGGTGATGACAGAGGATGAGATGGTTGGACAGTGTCATCGAAGCTACCAAGATGAATTTGTCCTAATTCCAGGAGGCAATGGAAGACAGAAGGGCCTGGCATGCTCTTGTACATGGGGTCATGAAGAATGGTATCATCTGCATATCTGAGGTTCTTGATATTTGTTCCGGCAGTCTTAATTCTGGCTTAGGATTCCTCCAGTCCAGACTTTCGCATGATGTATTCTGCATATAAGTTAAATAAGCAAGGGGACAATATACAGCCTTGTCGTACTCCTTTCCCAATTTTGAACCAAACAGTTGTTCCATATCCAGTTCTAACTGTTCCTTCCTGTCCCACATATAGATTTCTCAGGAGATAGATAAAGGTGGTGAGGCACTCCCATTTGGAATACCAATGTGGTTATGATAACACTAAGTTCTCATGTTCGCATGATGGTACATTTGGCAAAGTGCCGTAGCATGTTGTAATGTTCACATTTCGATCCAATAAGTGCATTTGGCTTATAGACGTTCACATGATATAGTATCTGTTTAGGCTTATAAGTTTATTACAGTCATATGAAATAGTATCTGTCTTCATATTCAGTACTGAAGTTGGTACGATGTATTGTCATTTTAATGGGTTATATTCGTAAGTGGAATCTGTCCACTTGCAGGAAGGTCTTTGAAGCAATGGAGATTTCCATCTGGAGGCTTAGAGTAAGTGTGTAGAAGAGTAAATAAACCTTTGTATTTCCCATTCTGCTGATAGAAGTATCAGGTAGAGGCTTCTTCTATCAGCTGCAGAACATCACATGCTCCATTATCCCTAACCATGGCATCTAATAAATGCTAATAGGCTCTAAAGACTCTTTCCTACAAAGGCTTATGATACAATCAACTGGCAAAAATACCGAAGTAGGTTATGTTTCGTCTCATTCATGCTAGTTGTTAAACCACAAGTGGCCGAAGTAGGTTATGTTTCGTCTCTTTGCATCATTCATGCTAGTTGTTAAACCACAAGTGATCTAGTTATCTGTAGGTCCATAGCAAGTGGATGGCAGAAGTTTCTTCCTGTGGAGGAGAGGAGCCACTTTCAACAACATTTCCTTCCTAATGGTGTTATATAAAATAAACATTCAAGTAAAATAATAAATCTTGCAGGTTCCCCCCCCCAATAGGTTAGTCAGCAAACTCCTTTAACACAATGTGTTATTTTATCTCTTCTACAGCTGTACTAAATGTGGATGATTCAATAGTTGACTTGGAAACACTGGAAGCATTATATGAGAATGTAAGTATCAAAATTTCACTGATCTGCTGCTGCTTCACACACAGAGTAAGGTATAATATGGTCTACACAAGGCATGCCCTATGTGCTTTTTATCCAGATCATGTCATTCTGCAATACAAATGCTATCTTTGGTTCTTTTAGTAAAGCACATCAGATTTCTTCTCTGAGATACAGTCCTTCTTTGGTTCAGAGAACTGCTTTCAGTGCTCTTGGGTCTTCTGTTCTATTGTTACAACCTCTGGATGCAACTGAGGTAGAGAAGGGATGAGATGTCAAAGGGGCACCAGTGAAGGTACTTTGCCATGCTCCAAAGCCTTCCTATTACTGATTGTGGCTTCTGACTCTGTTTCCATAGAGATCAGCACTTGGCAGTCCTCCTTAGGAAAAGATTCCTCATCCGTGCTTTTTCACATGGTTTGAGTTGCAAGGCATCTTCAGCTTCCCAGGAGGCTGTTGGGCTTTGTCGTGTATTTCATAAAATATTCTCAGGATGAATATATGATTGGCAGAATAGGTGCATGTCTCAGGATGATCCACAGCTATGAATATATGATTGGCAGAATAGGTGCATTGCATAAAGAAGAGCTGCGTCAATCTGGGATTAAATTAATGATCCAAATTGAATTGTCAGCGGCCAAAATTCCACTTGGAGAAAAAGTGCACATCAGTAGGCAATTGTGCAGCAATTTCTCCTGCCTCCTTTTCTTTGCTCAGTCAGTTGTGTAAGTGCCTACATAAATAATTTTACATACATCACAAGATCAGAGCGTGCAGGAGGAGGGAGGAACTGTTTATGCCAACATCCTTACTCAGTCAGGTAAATAAATAAGGTTCTGGCCCATTGTTGTGCATAGCTGTACATGTTAGGCCAAATTATGTTACCAAAAAAAATTACTTCCTATGATCAATAAGGAAAAATCTGGATTCATTCTTCGGAGAAAAAAAAGAGAAATGTGTTATCTAGGCATAGCTTTGCAGGAAGTCTATAAAATCACTTATTTTAAAAATACATTGGGATGATTGTATATATTTTATACATTGATAATGTTGAGTTAAAGATAGGTTTGATAGAATAACATTGTAACTCTTTTGTCACCCCTGACAACTCTATATGTAGGGGTTCTGTACATCCTGAGTACTATGTATCGCACAATATTTCTAAAGCATAGAATTGCATTGATGTAGTAGAGGAATCAGTGCATGGAAGCAAGTTTTCTATTTTGGATCCTGAAAGGCAGGGGTCCCCAACCCCCGGTCTGCGGCCTGATGCCAGTCCATGGGCTTCTCAAAACTGGGCTACAGAGACAGATCTCTGCCCGCCCAGTGGGTGTGCCACCCTCAAGGGGCGTGTTGCGCTCGCGCAGGGGTGTGTCGCACATGCAGTTGAAACACACACCCTGAGCGAGCACAACATGCCCCTGAGAGCATGACACACCCCCTGCAATGAGTGCAACATGCCCCCATGTGCACAACACACCTCCTGAGTGAGCATGGGGTGCCCCTGTCCCCCGCACATGGAGCCCGCCCCTCCAACTGGTCCACGGTGCCAAAAGGGCTGGGACCGCTGCTGAAAGGCACATGAAAGTGGATGCTATGCATGGGTCCACATTCTTTGGGGATGGGGAATGCTGACCTGAGTTTCAGATGCACCAATCACATTTGGTGTTGTTCAGTCACTAAGACCAGTACAGCCACCCTTGTTTTACAGGTGATTAGCCCTTTTATAGCTGAGAAAACACATTCTCCACACACATGTACCCCTACCCATGGGGCTAAGAAACCAAAGCTTATTAGCTTTCCTCACTACTCTTTTTGTCACTGAACTTGCAGAGAGCACAGAAGGACGAACTGCAAAAAATAAAGCGGCATTATGACACTTCAAAAGAAGATGAAGTAAAACTTCTGGACAAACCAGAACAGTAAGATTGGGTGTGGGGAGGCATTATGGTTTCCCATTATTCAAATGACTCTTCAGAAAGCAGAGCAGATGGCATATCACTGTAACTAAGATAAAATAGTTTGAACACCCTTGTGCTATCTTTTGACCATACTTTACTAACAGGGGCTAGCCTTTACTCAAGACTTCCCTTATGAATGTGTTTCTAGGCTTTCCGTTAGAAACGTCAAAATACAAAAATTCCAGGTAATTAGTTGAAATTAGTGAACTTTTCCTACATTAGAATTTTCTTTCTTTCTTAAGCCTATCTTCTCATAATTTTAAATTCTCCACTTCTTTTCCTGGCCTCAGATACAGGAAGCAAATGTTCTGATTTTCCCAGTTTCAAGGAATGAATATAAGAAATGTAGGTTTTTAAATAAGAGTTACAAATGAATAGCTGTAAACAGTATCCCTGAGTTTCAGCCACATACAGATGATGGGGTTTTTTACAGAGAAAAAAACAGATAGGGCAAAAACTTCCTCAGCAAAGGTATTTGTCTTTTGCCATTGGGCTACTTTTTTTCTGAATCAGTGCAGTGTATTAGAACAAAACAATAAAGCACAAGGCAGCTTTCACTGAACCTTGGTGCCAAGAAACAGGAATGACGTGTCCTGGTTTGTCCTGCTTGGATGTAGAGGGAAGACACTGGAACTTTCAGTGAGTTCAAGAAATGCAAGACAGATACCTTAACTCCTGACCCAAACCACAACAATACATTGAGGCCAAAATATCCTACAATTAATTTAGTGCCTTTTAAAAATTACAGTGGTGCCTCGCTTAGCGATCGCTCCGTTGAGCGATGAAATCGCTTTGCGATGGACTTTTGGCCACCGCTGGAGCGATCACATAGCGATGTCCCCTATGGCTAAAATTCGCTTTGCGATGATTGCGGGGAAGCGATCATGGCAAAGCGAACTTTTTAAAACAGCTGATCGGTGGTTCCAAAATGGCCGCCACAAAAACAAAATGACCGCCGCTGTTTTGCCTCGCTTTAGAGGCACCCAAAACGGCCGCCGCTACTGAGGAATTTTGCACTGAGGTAAGTTTTTAGCCCATAGGAACGTATTAAACACGTTTTAATATGTTCCTATGGGCTTTTTAATATCACTTAGCGATTAAATCACTTAGCGATGTTTTTTCCGGAACGGATTAACATCGCTAAGTGAGGCACCACTGTATTCAAATAAATGAGATTTAAATAAAAAGTGCATCTTCTTTAGATACCACCTTCTCCCTTTTGCTGTCTTCTTTTCTGATTCAAAGATTGACTATTTATGGTGAAACCAATCCATATTGGGACTTTAGTATGAACAAGAGGACTTCTAACTATAGGCCTTCGGCAAGTCACACGTGCCATTCACATTGCTACAAAGAGTCTCATGAAATAAATAAAAGTCTTTATGATTCAACACATTCCTGGGTATGGAAGGATACTTACAGTATCAAATTCTGCATTATTCTTCTGATACAAATGTGCCAAATCACAAAGACTTTCACAGGAGGGTGGCTATAGCTGCAAATAGAGATATGAGTGACTGGAGTGAAAAAAATCAAGAAATCATATAGAGTTACGTATTATTCCTTTATAAAATGCAGGTGTTATAATTAGAGATGGGGACAAATATAGCTGATTTGTTAAATATTCGTTGATCCATATTTGTGGGTTCCAGAATCTCACACAAATACGAAGGGATGAATATTTGCCATGTGATAAACTCTCCAGGCAGACCCAATTTGTGGGTGAATAACTCGGATGTCCGATATCCAGTCTTCACCAAAGTTGCCAGGCATGTTGGGGAAAAACATAGGAAGCTCTGTTGTGATTCTGGATTCTCTAAGTACCTGGGGGAAGCTTTCCTGGGGGGTCCTCTTTGTGACTATATAACTCAGGGTCTGTGATCCAATGTTCACCAAACTTTCAGGAGTTGTAGAAATGCATCTGCGGAAACTTCCCTGCAAATTTGGTGTCTCTGGGTGGCTGGAGGCCAGTGTTATAGCTGTTTAAAGTGCAGACAAATCGATGGAGCAATTCATCAAATAATATTCATATATTCGTATTTGTTGATCCATTAACCTTGATGAATAATGGATCAAAACGAATCACCATTTTTTAACTTGTCCCCATCTCTAATTATAACTGCTGCACCCTGATCATGCACAAAAGGGTCAGACACAGACTCGAGCACTTTAAAAGTGACTTTTTAGAAGTAATTAGTTGGACTTAAGACATCTATGGTGATTTTTTTTTAAAGTTAATTATTATTGCATTTAAGGATTTTTTTTTAAGTGACATTCTTCATCGTGGTCTTCTGTGAATGCACACAAAGGGTTAATACCAGCGCCAGCGTTGGGCCTCTCGGAACGTTTTCTAGCTGCAAGAGAAAAGTAACAATGTTTAGGACTACCCCTACTGCGCACGCCCAGCCTAACCGTCCCTCAGTTCCATTTTTCCGCCTAGCGGTTTGGAGC